GGGCCCCCTGGGGGGCCCCCTGTTCTAAGGCCCCCAGGGGCCCCCTCAGGGACCCCCACAGGGGTCTCCATAGGGGTCTCCACAGCGGTACCCATAAGGCTCCCCATAGGGGCCCCCTCAGGGGCCTTCATAGACGACCCCTTTGGGGGCCCCATAGGGTTTAGGGTAGGACTATTCATGGGGTCCTCTGAGGATTGCCCCCTAGAGGGGCCCTTCGAAGGGGGGCCCCTACGGGGGCCCCTATTGGGGCCCTTATTTGGGCCCCTATTGGGACCGCTACTGGGACCCCAAGGGGTCTCGTTAGACGGGGGCATTGAGGGGCCCCCATAGGTATCTGCCTCATGGGGGCCCCCATTGGTACCTGCCTCCTGGGGGCCCCCAGGAAGGGTAAGTGGGGAGGGATTGGTTAGAAGGGTACCGTCAGTTGTAGCAGATGCATGCAGGGGCCCCATACCCTCAAGATAATTCTGCTGTTTGTCTGTTGCTGTTCCTCCTGCTGCTGCTGTTGCTGGTGTTGCTGCTGCTGTTGCTGGTGTTGCTGCTGCTGTTGCTGCTGGTGCTGCTGCTGGTGCTGCTGCTGTTGCTGCTGCTGCTGCCTCCTTGCGGAATGTTGCTGGTGTCTGCTTCCTTAAGGGTCTTTTACCCTTGTGGGCCCTTGGGGGCCCCCCCGCTGCGAAGGGCCCCTGTACCCATGGGGGCCCCCCTGCTGCTAGGGGCCCCTTCTGCTGAGGGCGGAGACGTTTATTTTTTTTTTTATTGAATATGTTTGCTGCTGCATCTGCAGCAGCAATATGTGGGCCCCCCTGCAGCAGCATGAGCAGCATAAGCAGCAAGAGCAGCAGCAACAGCAGCAGCAGAGGGAGGGATAATTGGGGTAAGGAATAAGGGGAGGATAAGTGTCTCCTTTGTCTCCTTTTATTGTCTCCTTTTTTATATTCCCTTATTAAGGAAAAAGGAGACAACAATTTATTAATAAAAGGAGACAATTTATTAATTAAATAAATAAAAAAAGGAGACAATTTATTAATAAAAGGAGACACTACAAGGAGACACTTTTCCTTCATTGTCTCCTCTATTTATTTATTTATTTATTTATTTATTTATTTATTTATTTATTTATTTATTCTTTGCCTGCCTCTAGGTGTGGCGGCAACAATAGACACCCCGAGGGGGGCATGCTGCTGCTGCTGCTGCTGCTGCTGCTGCTGCTGCTGCTGCTGCTGCTGCTGCTGCTTCTGTTGCTGCTGTTGCTGTTGTTGCACCTGCTGCTGCAACTGCAGCCGCTGCTGCTGTTGCTGTACCTGCTGCTGCTGCTGATGCTGCTGCTGCTGTTCCTGCTGATGCTCCTGCTGCTGCTACTGCTGCCGATGCTAGTACTACTTCTGCAGCTGCTGTTGCAGCCGACGCTGCTCCCGCTGCTGCTGCTGCTGCTGCTGCTGCTTCTGCTGCTGCTGCTGCTGCGGTTCTTCCAGGTGTGTGTCACCTGCTGCTACTGCTGCTACTACTAATACTGTTGCAACCGATACTAATCTTGCTTCTGCTGCTGCTGTTGCTGCTGTCCCGCTCCTGCTGCTGCTGCTGCTGCTGCTGCTGTTTTTTGTGCTGCTGCCTTAGCAGCAGCAGCAGATGGAGACGAAGGCCTGCGGCTACCTGTTGTTATCCTGAGGTGTATATACATGTAATAATAGGGTACCTGTTTTCTCCTGTTGCTGCTGCTGCAGTTGCTGCTACTGCAGTTGCTGCTGCTGCTGTTGTTGCTGCTGTTGTTGCTGCTGCTGTTATTGCTGCTGCTGCTATTGCTGCTGCCGTTGTTGTTGCTGCTCTTGTTGCTGTTGCTGCTGCTGCTGTTCATCGAGAAGGCGCAGCCGACACAAACAATGGTCACCAGAGGGTTTTCTCTTTTTTTTTCTTTTTTTTTCCTTTTTTTTCTTTTTTTTTATAAAAAAAAATTAAAAAATAAAATAATTAATTAAATAAATAATAATAATTTATATTTTGTGTATTTGCTGCTTTTTTTTTCCTGCTGCATTTGCTGCTGTTGCTGCAGCGGTCATAGCATATATTGCAGCAGCAGCAACAGCAACAGCAGCAACAGCAGCAGCAGCAGCTGCTGCTGCTGCAGAAGACTGTGGGGCCGCAGCCGACTGCTTCCCTCCAGTGTATACACAGCTGCTGTATTAATAAATTATATTTTCTTTTATTTATTTTATTTATTTTATTTATTTTATTTATTTATTTAATTAAATAAATAAAAATAATAAAATAAAAAAAAGAAAAGAAAAGAAAACAGGAAAAAAATATTCACCTAATAAATAAACCCTTATGGTGGTTTGTAAACCCTAAACCCTAAACCCTAAACCCTAAACCCTAGACATGAAGAAAAGGAGACAAATATACAACCAAAGGAGACACATTAAGTGTCTCCTTTTGTTATACATGCTGAATACTATACAAATATATACTTTTATTTATATACATAATAATATATATATATATATAT